TACTATAGAAGGTTGGGTTATGGTTCAAAGATTTGGTAGGTCTCTACTTCAAAGGTCATGTAAGTTAATAACACAGCGAGTGTGGAAGTGTGGCAGGGTTTGTGTTAAGACAGTGTAATGACAGCAGCAGGATGAGAGGTGGAGATGACACATTGGAAGATAAGAGGTCACTTGTGGTCTCAGCCTTTTTATTATGCACTGCTTTCTGAAAATCTTGTGAATGCCATAACTCAAGATGGAAGTCATCTAGGATCTTCAAATATATATCATACGTGCATCTATTAGTAGGCTGAGGGGCAGCACTGGTGCCTGCCAGTATTTTTGTATTTATTGCTGTGTTGATGTGTTTTATTCTTGTTGTTGGGCTTAACAAACACCTGAGTGCAAAATACAATTTCACCTCATGCGAATATTTGCTGGAATGACAATAAGAGCCTTTAAATAAGTATTGGAATAGTTAAATCTAGTTAAAAGTGGCAGAAATGGTTTTGCTTTTTGACTTTTCTCTAATGGACAAAAGGATCAAAATATTATAGACTGTAAAAATACTGCTGCCCAGTACCCCAGCACCACCCACTGTGACCTCAGTAAAACCACAAGTAGAATTGTTGCGGCACGGGAAGGCGGACGCACCTGCACGGCATCACAGTCACGCCTCGCCAGCTTGGTGTTGGGTCCTGTCATGTTGTTTTTGTGGGTATGTGTGGCTGGCAACTAGGGAGCTGCAGCCGTGGAAGTGTGTTTGAACGCAACCGTAAGAAAAATATGTTGAAGAATGCGGAATTGTGGTCACGCCATGCCTCATTCCTGCCACAGTTGCCTTTTTCACAATGTTGACAAAAAAATGACAATGTAGGAGATTCATTTCAGAATTGACGGCAGGTCTGTTAGATTGGTTTGGATGCATTAACTGGGAATTATATTTTTGCGTTAATGGTATGCTGCAGGTATGTTGTAGCCCAACCCAGCAAAAACCATGTTTGTCTTCTATCTGAAAATGAAACTCTGAGATCAAATTTTAGTTTGTCCTGAGGGTCCAATGAGTCTTCTAGACCCAGTTTATGTTAAACTTGTGTTTAAAAAGTGTAAATATCAGTAAAACCATAAGTCAATGCTTTACTGTAACCTGGGACACAGCTTATTTGAACCCAATATGTAACTGATACGATACAAGGACAACATAGTACATTTTTAAAATGTTATTTTTATTTGAAAAAATGAATTCATGTCTATGATCCAGACATTATCTCACAGTAAAACATGCAGACTATTTAACTTCACTATGGTTAAATGCAGCTTTGTTTGTTTTGTACACCTTGAATTAAAGGATGTCGTTTCTAGGATTAATTTGCCCCAACAACAAACTGAAACGCTGAGCAGAAAGTTGCTGAAAGCTGTCGACTGCTCCACAGAACTTCGTAGCCTGTGGTAGTTTGAAACATTTCAGTGGTTTAGTATTTATTTTTACGATCCAGTATCCAACACTATTTCCAGAGCAAGCTGATTTTACATGCACGTTTTTGTTTGCTTATATTTTCCAGGATCTGCTTCACCTCACAGAGTATGACCTCTTGGTGCTTGGAGTCCACAATCACCTCCACCGCCTGCACCTTCTTACTTCTCTACGCCTCCTTCAGGAGCGAGAGAGGAGGAGAGGTACTCTAGCACTCCCACACGCTGCCGGATGCCTAAACACTTTTTATCTTACCTGATCTTTTCCATCAAGTTGTTGATTCTGGATCTGTGTTTGATTTGATTCCTGGTGTGCCCAGCGACTAGACAGAGACAGAAGCATTAGTGTCATGTAAAGACTTGCTTGTGCCTGGGGGTCGCTGGTGGAGGGGGTTATCTTACTCAGGATAATGCTGTCTC